AGCCCGCAGGCCCTTCCAATGGAGAAATTCACACTGACACCGAGGCAGGCCCCTGGGGCCCACCCAGCAGGAAGGGCACGAATGTTCATTTTTAAGAATGAGTAAAATGGCGGGTTCCCCAGCAGAAGTTAGACTTCTGCTTTTATCAGATATTTCGACACATTTCTCCTCCGATTGCTCTGCTCAATGCTGGTTTGTTTGTGTTTTTTAAAGATATTTTTTAAGTAATCTCTACGCCCAACATGGGGCTCAAACTCACAATACCGAGACCAAGAGTCATACGCTCCGGGGACTGAGCCAGCCAGGTACCCCTCAATGCTGTTTTCTGTCAGAAAAAAGTTGGGGACTGTTCCAAAGGAATGGTGCAAACTTTCACGTTCAGGATCATTCCAAGCACCTTTACTAGGTAGACAAAGACAGCGAAGGCATCTACAGCTGGACTCAGAGTCCAAGATCTAACTATACAGAAGCTTTGCTAGCTTTATTTTTTTTCAAATAAATGTGGTATTCCCCTGTTGGTGACTCACTTCCAGTGGCCCTGGGTTAAGGAAACCAAATGGACCACAAGACACTCTAGCTTGTTCTGAAACTTAGAGTCGGCTGTTTGCCCACAGGGTGTCTTATTCCTCAATAAGAGAGCTCAGTTCTCCACAAAATATACCCTTCTGCAAATCCCTAAACACTTGAAAGTAAGCTTCCTTTATCACCATCTACCAGAACATGCCTTGTGTGTGTGTGTGTATGTGTGTGTGTAACATTATCCTTCTACTTACACATCACAAATGACCAGGTAAATAGAATCAATAAGCATTGGCTGAATCTTTCTTGCCAACTGAGACAGGGCAGTTTCAAGTTTAAACACCAGTCCTTGGCACACTTGGCTACACATTAGAATCCCCTAGGGAGCTTTTAAAAATCCCCAATCCCCAGGCCACACTCTATACCAGTGAAATTGTAATTTTGGGAGACGGGACCCAGACAGACATCAGTATTTTTAAAAACTCTCCAGAGAATTCCAACATGCAGCCAAATATGAGAAGCAGTGATGTCAGCAACAGCTTTCTGGGTGAACCCATCTGTTGATTCTCTAACTGGATTCTTTCCTGCAGCTGTGGGCATCGGGCCATCTTGGACGCAGCAGGTTCATTCTTGACCAGGAAGGAAGACTGGGCCTCAGTTTCCCTCCACAGAAGAGCACCAGCTCAGGACAACTGTTTCCCTGACTCACCCCTTTATGCTCACCAAGTGAGAAAGTGGGGTGACTTTGAATCTGCTGCGATCTTGTGGTTGATTCAGTGTGGTTATAAATTCTCTGCAGCTGCTCCCATGAAGAGATGGAGTCTACTTCCCCACTCCGTGAAACTGGACTGGTTTCATGACTTGCTTTGACCAGTAGATTGTAGCAAAAGAGATGTCACGTGAGTTCTGGAGCCTGGGCCTCCACCTTGCCCTCCTGAATGTGGCCCTGAGAAGCCTGCATGGGAAACTAGCGTATCCTCCTTGAGGAGGAGAGGCCAGGCTCCCCCGGCCTCAGCCGACACCACCCCCAGACCTCAGTGACTCTCCAGCAGAACGTTGTCATTGGAGCGAGCCCTGTGAAGCCAGCAGAGGAGTGCGGCCCAGCCATCCACAGGATCAGGGGACATTGGAAATTGCCGTGGTTTTGAGAGACAGAGTTTTGGGGTGGTGGTTACTCAGGAATAGAGGCCTGAAACAAATAGTGACTTCGTACGTCCTTCTCATGACTTTGTATCTGTGCCACGAGGACAGCTGTGCGTTGCCCTGCAAGTACTGATTTTAAAATGCACTGATTTAGGTGCACCTGGGTGGCTCAGTCGTTAAGCGTCTGCCTTCGGCTCAGGTCACGGTCCCAGGGTCCTGGGATCGAGCCCCGCATCAGGCTCCCTGCTCCGCGGGAAGCCTGCTTCTCCCTCTCCCACTCCCCCTGCTTGTGTCCCTCTCTCGCTGTGTCTCTCTCTGTCAAATAAATAAAAATAAAATCTTTAAAAAAATAAAATAAAATGCACTGATTTAATCTCTTTCTCGGTGGGAGTCTTTATTTTAAAGCAGCTCCATGATGATACGGTATTTCTCACCGTGAGCCCCTGATGCATTTTTCAGTGTGTTCATGCTAATATGATTTAAAATAGACTGTAGAGGTGGTGCCTGGGTGGCTCAGTCGTTAAGCGTCTGCCTTCGGCTCAGGTCATGGTCCCAGGGTCCTGGGATCGAGCCCCGCATTGGGCTCCCTGCTCCGCGGGAAGCCTGCTTCTCCCTCTCCCACTCCCCCTGCTTGTGTTCCCTCTCTCGCTGTGTCTCTCTCTGTCGAATAAATAAATGAAATCTTTAAAAAAAATAAAATAGACTGTAGAGATGTAAAATAAACATCGATCAGTGGTAGATGTTAAAAAAAAAAAAACAACAGTACCTAGGGATACAAATTATATATAAGGGAATTTCCAGGATGCAAAGTTGAAGGGTAGAGTATCTACAACTTTGAGTAGGACATTTACAAATTCCAGAAAAGCATGACTTTCTCTGAGGATGGGAGGTATGGAGCTGAGATACTTTTGTAAATTTAGTCCTGATATTATTTGTATTCACTCAGTATATATATATATATATATAGTATATACAATATGTATATATTGTCTCTGCAATGGGCAAGGTACTTTCTTTATTGGATGTTGAGGAGGTTCAAAAAAGGATGCTGTTATCAAACTCAGGAAGTGTGTATCATGTTCCTATCCCATCATTTCAGTTTTCCAAGTTATTAGCTGCTGACAATGTGCATATCTCAGTTCTAACAGTTGGAATTCAAATCTAGCTCTTCTGGAAACTGTCTCTGGTTCTTCAGTGCTAAGGAGGGGAGCTAACTTTTGTGTCAGGGCTCCATGGATTGACGAATGGATCAGGAAAGATGGGACTTTTCACTCACCATCCTTGGCAAGGGGCTTCTCCTGGGCAACATAATCATGTGACTCAGCAATTTAGAATTAACTCAGTGAGAAGGTTTTGCCTTGCAACTAACCACTCAAATTTTTATCACCTCCTTGCATTGTGTGCATGTGCACACACACACACACACACTTTATGTTGCTGGGGCTACCACAGCAAAATCCCACAGACTGGGGGGCTTAAACAACACAAATGTATTTTTCACAGCTCTGGAGGCTGAAAGTTCATGATCAAGGTGTCTGCAGGGTTGGTTTGTCCTGAGGACTCTCCCCTGGGCTTGCAGACAGCTGCCTTCTCCCTGTGTTCTCACATGGCCTTTCCTCTGTTATGAGCATCCCTGGTGTCTCTTTGTGTGACCTAATCTCTTCTTATAAGGACATCAGTCATTTTGAATTAGAGTCCATCCTAATGGTTGCATTTTAACTTAATCACCTTATAAAAGGCCTCTCAAAATATGGTTACATTCTTTTTTTTTTTTTAAGATTTTTTTTGACAGAGAGAGACACAGCGAGAGAGGGAACACAAGCAGGGGGAGGGGGAGAGGGAGAAGCAGACTCCCCACTGAGCAGGGAGCCCAATGTGGGGCTCGATCCCAGGACCCTGGGATCATGACCTGAGCCGAAGGCAGATGTTTAACCGACAGAGCCATCCAGGTGTCCCAAAATATGGTTACATTCTATGGCACTGTGAGTTAGGGTTTCATCAGACGAATTTGGTGGGGGACAATTTGGCCCACAACTATAGGTATATAGAGTATAGAGATATATATTACATCTCTCTCTCTCTTTCATTGACAGAAAGTATGCCTGTATCTGTTTCTTTGTCAAGGGGTTAGCATCAGCTCTCTGCCTTATGTTAAAACCTACAGATAAAGGCAAAGGGAAGAGGACAGCAGGTGTTTTGAAGCAGCAGATAGTCAAGACTGAATCACTGGAGGTAAACGCCAGGAAAGCTGTAGGAAGCCTGGTGGGCTTGGGGTGGGCAGCAAAGCACTCTATGCAAGGAGGTGGGCTGCCCTGTGCCAGTCCACACACTGTGAGGCGGGCATCATTTCAGGCACTCCTGAGCACGGGCACTGGGACAAAACCCCCACCTTCTTGAGTAAGATTGCTCAAGTTCCTATTCAGAAATAATTGTCAAGGAGGAAATTACTTTTTTTTTTTGGCGGTTCTTTTCTTCTCATTTTTAAACTCTCCTTAAGATGATAGGCAGATGGGACTTCCTTAAATGAAAGTCACTTAGTTCCCATTTTCTCTAATTGGAGGCACTTCAAATAAAAAACCCAGTGGTCAGATGGACACACATACATACACAAGACGTTTCTTAACTGAAGGGGAATTCTGCAGATAACTAGGAAATCTGAGAGCAGGGTCGAGGGCGTTTGCCCAAGCCCCACAACGTGTATTAATTTACAAACACAACAGACTGTGTTATAGAATCCATTCCATACTCAAGTCTGAGGAACCTCTTTCCAAATGAGTCTAAGAGACCTTCACTCAACTTCCATGAAGCCAGCCAGAGAGAGGAGAGACTTCCCACAGCCTTCCCCAAGAAGGGCTGGAGCCATCCTGGTGGGAGGTGCTGCCCTCCTGCTGGCCATGGAGGGAGACAAGACATGGTTTCAGAAAGGAAATATGAACAGCCCACCCAGGAACAAACAGTGAGACAGTGTTACATTGCAATCTCAAAATTGGAATTGTCAACAAAATGGCCCAAGGAAAACATCAAATCCTGCAGACGCTGAGTCCCACAGACAGAGCTCAACAGGAGGATATTGGGTAGATGCTGGCCGTGTCCCACAGGAGTCCCAGACAGGACATCTTATCTCCGTGGATTTTAGTTTTGTAGTTAGCTTGCCTTCCTGCACACTTTGTTTGTTCTGTTTTAGGCATGATCGGGTTGAAAATGTTAAAAGAGGCAGACTCTGAGAGCTTGCACAATATTTCAGCAATGAGCCCAGCACATACAGATGATCAACTTTACTCAGAGCTCATCGAATGAGTAAAATATGTACATATTTTCTGTACTGTTTTTCTCAACAGAGAAACTACTTTCCCCCAGAAGAGGAGCCGTCTGTGAGACATACATCACACCAGAGCCCTGGGTCTCTCTCGCGGCAGCGAAGGCACCATGTGGGGTGGATGTGACCATCAAAGGACTGAGGGTCTCCTCATGTCTTCCCAGGGAGCCTCCTGGGGTTCCTCAACTGCTCTTCAGTGCTTTGTGGCTAAACAGAAGAGTGACGGTCTTTTCTTGATTCACAGAGAAATCTGAGACATAGAACTTGCTTAGTTTTAAGCCCCCACCCTCCATATTTATTATGAATGTGTCACTGACATTTATCTCTGTTGAAATCTACTCTGTGATGCTATTTGATTTGGTACAAAATCACACAGCTACTTTACAGTCAATGCATTAACGTTTCATGGTGATCAAGACCCTTTCTTATGACTTTCAGGCACCCGGACGCTCAAACAAGTCTGATAACCAGGCCCTGAGGGTGTCTCGTGCAGTGGTTTGCTTCTCTGTCTCTCTATGGGGGCAGGGGCTGTGCGTTATTAAAATCAATATTCTCTCCACCCTGGCTGGCTGGTAGGGGGCAGCCAGTCAAGGCTTGTTGAATCCGTGAATACCCATCTGTGAGCGTGAAGCAGGTGTGGTTGGACTTTGCAGCTAATGGCAATGGGGTGTTGTCAAATGGCAGCAACTTCACTAGTTGGGCCCGTCCAGGGGTCAGTCCAGAGTCAGGAGGGACGAGGAAGCAGAGTCATGTTCCTCTGGGGACTTCACTGGAGGGAGAAGACATTTCCGACATGGTACTGAGTCTGGTTTTCTCTGTGGTGCATCTTGGCGATCACCTTCTCGGCATGACCAGAGGAGAAAACTCTATCCCAGCTTCCCCTCCTTGAGGAACCATTTGGAAAACTTTTATAAGAGTCCAGGCGAAGACCTGATGATGGCAGAAGGTGGCCACAGAGCCAGGAAAATAGCCGATCCCCTAGAGTCTCTCTTTTGTTCTTTGATGCCCACAAGCATAAAAAGAAATACCTGTCCGAAGCTGGATGGGTGGGTGGGGGGCATTCCTTGCTCTTAAGTGTTAGTGAGGAACCAGTCTCTGCTAGAGCAACAGGAGATGATCTGATACTGGGGATCCTTGACCAGTTGTGTGGGGGGTATGAAGGTTTTCCACTTAAAGTTCCTTCATGTCTTTCTTAGAGATATATGGTTTACACAGTAATAACTATTTTTCTCTCAACAGGAAGAACTATCCCCAGTAAGAATTGATTTTCCCTTCTGAAATCTCCAGACCTCTGCATCCTTTTTCGAGTTTGGAGATCGGGGTGGTAGTGTCCTAAGACAGTAGTGCTCAGTACTGCCCGGGGAGCTTCTAATGATCCCGGAGCCCAGAAGGGCTGGAGCCATCCCGGTGGGAGGTGCTGCCCTCCTGCTGGCCATGGCGGGAGACAAGACATGGTTTCAGAAAGGAAATATGAACAGCATACTCCAGTCTGGCTGGACCCAGACTAATTTTTCTGGAGTCTTTGGACTCAGGCATCAGTATTTTTTTTTAAGTATTTTATTTAAAAATATTTTATTCTTAAGTAATCTCTACACCCAATGTGTGGTTCAAACCCACAACCCTGAGATCAAGAGCTGCACACTCCACCAACTGAGCCAGCCAGGCGCCCCGGGCATCAGTATTTTTTAAAGCCTTTTGAGGAGTTCTAATACGGGGCTGATACTGAGAACCACTGCTTAGAATCTACTCCAGTCCTCAAATGCAAAGTTTTTGTTAAAAAGAAAAATAAGGCCAAAGATATCTTTTAATTGGAAAAAGTATTTTTTTCATATTCTCGTATCTCAAAAGCTACCAAAGGGATTTTTCCCAGCCCTGAACTTTCCATTAATAAAAAACAAAACAAATTTATACTGAAAACAATGATGAGAAAATTCAGCCAAAAGTAGAATTTTCCAGAAAGTTATGGGCGAGTGAAAAAAAAAAAAAAGCAGACTATCATTGAAAAAATGCTTTTACAGGAATTTCCTTTTAAATCTACTTGCAATCAATGTCTCATTTCAAAGATGGATAAACAGCATTTGCCAGAAAGTCCCATCTCTGGCTATTGCTAAGAAGCTCAGTGTCGAGTGATGGAAATGCCCACAGCAGAGTTCACTCAGTCTGACTCAATGTGGGTTTTAAAGAAGAAGTTAACAAATTTTTAACAGTAAGAGCTCAAGTGGGTAACAAAATGACTGGCAGCTATATGACTAGTTGAAAAGAATTAACTTTAACAGCTTGGAGTGATGGCTCATCTTGCAAACACAACTTTCTAAAGACTATATCAACCCTCTTCTTTTGGGGGCAAAAGAAATGTGTGTCTCCAGTTGCTTAGATAGCACTGCTTTCCGCGTGGCTCTGAGCACTCAGAAGGAGGAGAGAAGGGGGCATACACTACGAGTTTCTGACCCTGCCCCAATACATCAAGTGCTTGTCCATCTTTTGCTTTACGTTAATCTGGCGCAAGTTGACCTCACTGATTTCTAAGGCGACAGCTTCCCACTGGCTCTAGGAGAAAGCAGAAATCCCTCAGGTTGACATGCAAGTAATGGGGTCCCACCATGCCTTCCCATCACTGCACCAGTGGGCCAGTGCTCTGGAAACCTTTCTAGTGAAGAGACTCAGTGGCAAAGGAGAGCCCAAGATGGTCTCCCAAACTCTTCTGGGTTTTGCTTTTCTACCGTGGCCAGCCTCATCCTATAGGCTGAGCACTCTGTGAAGCATTGTACAGACTTTATCAAGTAAGCTCCTTACCGCAAACCCGAGAGGTGGGAATTATTGCCCCCCACCTTTTCCTTAAAATCTCAAGTAATTGTTGTAGTCTCCTCCTTCAGAGACCAGGGTGTGTTTTCTGATAAAAATAATACCTTTTCAGGGCGCCTGGGTGGCTCAGTTGGTTAAGCATCTGCCTTCGGCTCAAGTCATGATTCTAGAGTCCTGGGATCCAGCCCCTTGTCGGGCTTCCTCCTCAGTGGGGAGTCTGTTTCTCCCTCTCCCTCTGCCTCTCCTCCTTGCTCTGCTCTCTCTCTCTCCCAAATAAATAAAATAAAATAAAATAATACCTTTTCATTCTTCAAGCACCTAGTGAAGTTGAGGTGCAGGGAGGTGCTTATTTCTTGAGTCACACTGGGTTCTTGGGATACTTTCGACTGGGCACATTTGTAAGGGAATTGGAGCAAAACAACTCAGGACGTGGGCAAGCTGGAATTGCTCTGAAGGAATGGAGGAGAGGGGCATTCCTTGGTCCACGTCTCTGCCACATGGCTGAACTCAGTGCTGGGTCATGACAGGGACGGTGCTCACAACGGAGACGACTTAAGGAATCACAAGGAAGGGACAGCCAGATGCACACTCTTCGTTCAGCCCTCCCGTGACATGGCTGGTGTCCTCTGTGTGTGAATGGCGCTCTTGCACCTCTGGACCTTCGCTCCTCTCACCCCTCTGCTGGGATGTCCCTTTCCCACCTCTCCAAAGGCCCAATCCTCCGTCTTCCTGCAAGGCCAGCTCAGATGCTACCTACTCCCCAACCCCAAATCCTCCCTTGTTTCTCCCAACCTGAGGCAAACTGCTGATCATGGGTTGAATTGTCCCCCAGAAAGTTATGTCTAAGTTCTAACTCCCAGCACCTGTGAAAGCGTCCTGTCAGGAAATGGTCTTTGCAAATGTAGTGAAGGGAAGAGTTTTGAGATGAGCTCATCTGGATGAGGGTAGATGTTCAATCCAGTGAAGGGGTTCCTTATAAGAGACAGAAGACACACGGAGACACAGAGGGGAGGCTGTGTGAAGATGAGGCAGAGGTTGAACTGATGTGTCCCCAAAGCCAGGCCCGCCGAGGATTGCCAGCAGCACCGGAAGTTAGGAGAGGACCCGGAACAGGTTCTCCCTCAGAGCCTCCAGAGGGAGTCGACCCTGCCGACACTTCAGGGCTGCCCTTCTGGCCTCCAGAATGGTGACAGGATAAATATTTGCTGTTCCAAGCCTCCAGGTTTGTGGTGATTTGTTACCGCGGCCTCAGGAAACTAATATACCACCTCTCTTGGGGTCTCTCCTATCATCCCATCTGATCTTCTCCTGAAACCCATCAATTTTGACCCCATGTTTTATCTTCTCCCGTACACATTGCCTGCTCCTACCAGATCCAGCAGGATTACCCTTCGGGTCTCCTGTGATGCTTTCTGCAGGGTTGGTGCTCTGATAATATTTGCAGGGTGCTGTGGGGGGCTGGGGGGTTCGGGGAACAGACCAGTTCATGCTCCTACAGTGACTGGAGCAGCTCAGGGGAAGGCTTGGACTCAGGCTGCTCTTACCCTCCAGCTGGGGGCTAGCCCAATTCTGGCCCTGCCCTGAGGCCTCTCTGTCATTTCAGGACTTTGGGGTGACCCCGCCCCACCACAACCTCGCTAGTACACCCCAGGCTGCACTGGGTGAGGGGCTCCTGCCTCTGTGTTTCCCATTAAAATTATTATTATTATTTTATTATTCCCATCATTAAAGTACACGCCTGGCCCACTATTCAAATGATCTCTTCAAGGCCTGTGTTCACCAGACTTGCAGCCCGTCAAGGTCAGAGGTCATGCCTTATTGACCTTTGAATTTCCTCAGCCCAGTACTGATGACATATTGATGTGCAGTGAATATCATTTAAAGCTCTTAAGGATCTGGTCTCCAGCTAGCTTTTCAGGATCACTTTGTCTTATCTGTTCATTCTGACTGACCCCCCCTTCCCCCCACCTTGGACTGCAATCCAGTGAAACCAATCTCTTGGCTAAGCATTGAGTTGTTCCCCCCTCTGTGGCCTCAGATTCATATGTTGGAGCACTGACCCCCAGTACCTCAGATTGTGGCCCTTTTTGGAGATAATACATTTACAGGGGGAATCAAGTTAAAGTGAGGTCGTTAGGTTGGGCCCTAACCCAATATGACTGGTGTCCTTATAAAAAGGGGAAATTCGGGCACAGAGATACACATAGAGGGAAGGCGATGTGAAGACAAAAGGGGAAGGCAGCCACCCACAAACCAAGGAGAGAGTTCTAGAACAGGTCCACTGCCTTCCGAAGGAACCAACTCTGCTGACACCTTGCTCTTGGACTTGGAGCCTCCAGAGATGTCAGACATCATTGTCTCTGTTGTTTGAGCCACGAAGCCTGTGGTCCTTTGCTATGGCAGCCTGAGCAAACTAGGGCACCCTTGTTCTCAGGTCCCTCAGCCTCTCCCTCGCGCCTTTGCCTTTGCATGTGCTGTTCCCTTTGCCTGGAATGTCCCTCCGTTACTGGGCAGAAAGCTCAGCTTCTGTTCTGTGTGCAGGCTCTGTGCTAGGAGGCTTACAGGCATTACCTCATTGAATTCTCAGGGCAACACGGTATT